AACTGGTCACAAAGGCCAATATGGTGAATAAGAGACTCAGACCTCCCACGTTTCGGGTACATTGCTCAAAAGCTTGCCACAAAATTGCCGCTTGCAAAAGCTCCTTAAAAAGTGGAGAACATTACAAAGAGGACTTTTGAAGAATATAAATCCACGATTTTTGAGAAACCTTCAAAGACCTTCCTTATACATTTGATCAACTTAGATGTCTCCTCTATACAATACGCAGAGACATTTACAAAAGTGCAGCAGAGACCTCCACGGCTTTTTCAGATGTAATTCAATTCATTTTGTATCTAATTCGAAAAGGCAAAAAGGAAGGCAATAAAAAATTAGATTTTTTTGTTTCAAACTTCGAGTGAAATAATTCGAATTTCAAATGAAATAATACGAAATTAAAATTGAATGTTAAGAATAACAATAACAAATTGAATATTACGAATTACAAAAAGAATTTTCAAATAAAATGTTGCGACTTACACCTGAAAATGTTGTGGTTGGCTCTAGAGGTCTCTGCTATAGAGGAGTTTGTCGCAAAGGCTTGCAATGGTGATAAGTAACACCAAATACCTCTGCTTCTAGCCTCAATTGATTTCAGAGGTCTCCACTCTAAAGTAGATGGCGCCAGAGGCTTCTGAATTAAATTACATGACCTTAAAAGGTTCTAATACAGAGTAAGATGTCTGCATATTAAACATAACTTTATGAATTTCGGAAACCCAGAAATAAAAAAAAAAACAAATAAAATGCATTAAGTTCGGCCGGGCAGAACTTTTTAATACCCTCCACCCTCCAGGGTGAAGGAAGCATTAGAACCCATTATGACCCACAAATACCAATTGTTAGACAAAAACGTGGACCTATACATATAATATTTCGCCAACGGAGCTAGAACCCATTAGGACCCACAAATGCCCATTTTTAGACAAATCCGCGAAGAAATGTGGCGAAAATCATCAAAATACTGAATATCGGGAGGTACCGTTATATGGGAGCTATACCAAAACATAGACCTATACATACAATGTTTCGCCGCCGGAGCTAGAACCCATTAGGACCCACAAATGCCCATTTTTAGGCAAATCCGTGAAAAAATTTTGACAAAAACCATCAAAATACTGAATATCGGGAGGTACCGTTATATGGGGGCTATATCAAAAAGAGGACCTATACATGCAACGTTTCGCTACCGGAGCTAGAACCCATTACGACCAACAAATACCAATTTTTAGACAAATCGAAAGGTACCGTTATATGGGGGCTATACCATACTAAGTTTTGCCACCGGAGCTAGAAACCATTCAGATAAATACTATTTTTCACAGAGATCCGTAAAAAATGTGACAAAACTTATCAAAATACCGAATATCGGGAAGTAATGTTAGACTCAATACAAATTGTTCTGCTAAATTTTGACGCTCTACGTCAAATAATGTGGGCTGTATTGTGATTTCAAAAGCCAGACGGATTGTCCTCATCCGGAAAGTGTCGAAAAAATATTCATAAATTCGAATATTGCAGATCATTCTTGAAAAATCATACGATTCCTCATGTGATAATACTTCAAAACATTATTTTAAAAATCTTACGTTTCCAGCTCTGGCAATCCTTGTAAAAAATGTTTTGAAAATCTGACGATTATAGCTGTGCCACCTGTATTAATTGAAATTTAGTCTTCAAAAAATGAGGTTTAAATTTCCATAATCAAGAATTATAGTCTTATTTTTTTTCACGAGATCAAGTCCAAAAGCCTTTAAATTTTTTAATCCGCGATTTTCTTTGAAAGATCCGTTAAAAATATTCGATTCCAGTTCTACAACTACTTCTTTGTGAAAGTTCTTGAAAAAATTGCTTTAAATATCCAAGATTGTAATCTGAAAAAAATGATTTTTGGCAGTATTAAAATATACGATTTAAACCGTGAAAATCTTCAGGAAATATTTCGAGACGGAATTCCAATTATAACGCTTGAAGCCTTTGAAAATAATTCCAATATATTGTGGTTCTGATAGTCCTTAAAAACTTTTTCTTTAAAATTCTTGAAAATATTTCTTACAAAACTCCTTAAAAGTCTTGGGAAAGTTGTCGTTCTGGAATAATTGTCTTAAAAATCCCCGAAAGTCTGGAAAGAGAGAATATATCATTTGATACGACCAAAACGTATCTCATTGAAATAACCGTTTTAGACCCTAGGTCTCTTTGGACCAACTCCGTTTCAGGACATTTGGACAGATTGTTCTACTGAAAATTGACAATATCAACATTTTGAATAATTATATCTCTTTTAACATGCGATCAAAACATGCGATAATTCTTTAAAGTCGAAAAATATCCTTGAATGTTAAAGTTATATATTTAAAAACAAATCGAACAAAATCGTAAAAAACCTAACTTTTACGATTTTCTTTAAAACAATATTTTTCTAAAATATGTTTTAAAAAATAATTCTTCAAAAACAACGAATGACCTTGGGAAGTAATCTTTAAAGGTCCTGGACTATCTTACCAAATAGTTCTTAAAAATATCAAAATTGTCCCTGACAAAAATATGATTATTTTAGAAAATATATCTTAAAAAGTCGCAAAACCGTTTTCTAAAAATCCACTATTGTCCTTCAAATATCTTTCTTAGAAAACGTGTCCTTGAAAAATATTTTTTTTTAACAAAACACTTATGTCCTTGAAAATATTTGCATAAAATCTACAATTTTTTTGTGAAAACCTTTCTTTTTAAATTGAAGATTAATGCTCCTCTAGTCTTAAAAAATCCAAGACTTTGACTCGGATCGTCCTTCAAAAATAATTTTCTTTAAAAGGTCTGAAAACCCTTACAAATTATCCCAAAAAAATCAAGATTAAATATTTGCAGTCCTTTTCGGATATTGTCTTTTCTAACTATCTGATCTTCTCAAAAAGCTCATTAAAAAGCATTCGAAAAAATCCTCTATTACCCTTGAAAAAAAAAAATAATTCTTCCATCCGCGGAAAATATTTTTTTAAAGTCCTGAAGTTGTCTTTCTGGAATAATTGTCTTAAAAATCCACGAAAGTTATTCAAATATGATATTGTCCATAAAAACATTTTTTTTAAGAGCATTTCTTAAATTAATATACGATAATCACTTTTTTCCTTAAAAATATATTTTTTTAAAACTTTGTGATAGTCCTTAAATAATATTACTTAAATGAAAAAAATAAATAATTCTTCCATCCGCGGAAAATATTTCTTTAAAGTCCTGGAAAACTCGTCGTTTGGAATAATTGCCTTAAAAATTCACGAAAGTCATTCAAATATGCCATTGTCCATAAAAAATATTTTTGAAGTCCTTTTAGAATATTTCAAAAAAAAAAAAAAAAAAAAAGACGCGATAATCATTATTTTTTTTCCTTAAATTATTTTTTTCTTAAACTTTGTGATAGTCCTTAAATAATATTACTTAAACACTTTTTCTTAAAATATTTCGAGAGTCCTTCGAAAAAGTTGCTTCAAAAAATACAAATTTATTTCTGAAAATTCCACAAGTATCCTTCAAAGAATTCATAAAAATATTCTTTTCAAATTATATAATAGTTCTGCTGGTCTCTGAGTAAAACGCTTTAAATATTCCAAGACTAGGGTTCCGTTCGTCCATCAAAAATTAATGTAAGACTATGAAGTTATAAAAAATCTGTAAGTCCTTTAAAATTATCCTCAAAAAATCCATGATTAAAGAATTGTAGTTTTTTAAGTCTTTTTCTCTTCTAACTATCTCATCTCCCCCAAAGTTCCTTGTCTCTCGCTCTCTCTCTCTCTCTCTCTCTGCAGTTATGTAAATTCCATTCATTTTCTTTTGGCCAACATCATTAATAAAGCTTAACAGCAACTGGCATTTAGACAATTCCCAAATGCAACCGAAAAACTTTTTCCCAAGTTTCAATTCCATTACTCAATTAAAAAGCAAACTTAATGCTTGTTCAGTTACTGGATTTAAGTGATTAATTTATGATTTTATGGTCTGTAGACGAAAGCCATCTACTTACCGAGGACTATCTACCCTCTCCCATGTCTTCCATACCACCTCAGGAAAATGTCACATAATTTGGTGCACTTAAAGAAAAGTCCATTTAAGTGTTGGTTGTTCCGAAGGAGAAAAAAAAACGAAATATCTGCCTAATTCTTTTTGATGTTGGCCCACAATTGTCTAAACCAACATTTATGGAGCCACAAAAGAAACGAAGCAAAAAAAAAATGTGAAAAATTAAGAATACCAGCAAAACACTTATCTCCACTGCCCGAAAAAAAAAAAACAGAAAAAAAAAACAGTTTCAAAAGCTGCAAAGTCATAATCACCTGAAGCTAAAGTGGATGACTATGAAGTGAAGTGTACTTTATTATGACTGTTTGGTTATTATAATGAAAAAGGACACAAGAAAGACAAAAAAAAAAAGGAAGAAAGAAAAAAGAAAAATCCACACAGCTTGAAACAAAATAAAACTTTGGCAATTATCAAACCCCAAAACAAAATTCCATTGGGTTAGAACAAAACAGAAGGAAATAAAATAGAATGGAATGTAAGGCAGGCCGGGCAATAACGGTGATGATGATGACGACGACGAGGATGATCCTTAAGAAAACAAAAGAATTTTCCCCCAAACGATGAAAAAATACTTATACTTATACTTTTAATGGTTGTACATCTAATCTTTCCCCATATAGGGGAGAAGGCGGTCATCAGTACCCTATCCACTATCAACGTCTCCTCAGTCGTCTTCGTCATTATCATCAGCAAATTACCACTTTTGCTTGAAGGACAATGCAATCCTTACATTTATGGCCAACATGGAATGCCATTTTATGGGCCAGAAGAAAAACAAAAATGAAACAAACCCACCACCCCCCACTCTCAAAAAAGATTTAACCGATGTTCTTGCCGTAGAGGTGTTATCACCGCCATTGTTTTTATTGTTTTACCAAGTTACTCACCCACCCACCCGCACACACACATATTTACACAACACTTACCTATTTCCAAATATTTCTGATGTAAGGGATCATAGTTATCCCAGGTGATGCTGCGAAAACGGCTACGTTCCTTGGAGGCCGGCAGCACAGATTCTTGGCGATGATGTTCATTTGGATTCCTGTAACAGAAAAAGAGGAAAAAAAAAAAAAAGAAAACAGTGAATAAAAGATTGAGGAATTTTTTGCTGGCGCCAAATTGTTATGGTGTTTTGGTTTTTTGTTTTGTTTCTTTACAACGATTTCATTCGTTATCATTCCGCTGTGACCTTTTTAACCCCTTTCGTATCAAGTTGCTGTTGTTATCCTAAACACTATCTCATGTTACGAGTGCAAATTGAAATAAAGATTAAAGGTGTGGTTGGGTGGGTAAGGAATTTCTCATGTTAAAAATTGGGGGAAAGGTGAAACTCAAAAAAAAAAAAGTAGAAAAGCAGCTGAGTTCGGCCGGGCCATACTCTTTATACCCTCCACCATTTGGAAGAAGCTTGAATAGTTTCAAAAAAAAAAAATCCGAATAGTACCACTTAAATGAAAATCGTTATATGAAGACTGAAAACGTGGACCTGCTTACGAAATGTTTTATCGTAGGCTGTAGAACCCATTACGAATTTCAAATACTAAATTTGAAACAATTCCGGTGAAAAATGTCGCTAAAATCATCAAAATACCGAATACCTTAGGTACCGATATATGGGGGCTATACGAAAACTCGGACCTGCACAGACAATTGACACACACAGACCTATGATCGAAAATCATCAAAATACCGAGTATCGGGAAGTGCCATTATATGGGGGCTGTATGAAGACTTGGATCTGCACAGACAATTTTCTGTCATAGGCTGTAGTATCCATGACGAACGAACGAAATACCAAATTTGAAACAATTCCACTGAATAATGTCGCAAAAATCATCGAAATACTGAATATCGGGAGGTACCGTTATATGGAGCCTATACGAAGACGTGGACCTGCACGGACAAAATTCTGTCTTAGGCTGAAGTATCTATTACGAACTTCAATTACCAAATTTGAAACAATTCCGGTGAATAATGTCGCTTAAATCACCAAAATACCAAAAATAGGGAGGTACCGTTATATGGAAGCTATACGAAGACGTGGACCTGCACAGACAATTTTCTGTCGTGGGGTGTAATATCCATTACGAATTTTAAATACTAAATTTGAATCAATTCCGGGGAATAATGGTGCTAAAATCATCAAAATACCGAATACCGGGAGATACCGTTATATGGGGGATATACGAAGACGAGGACCTGAACAAACAATTTTCCGTCTTAGGTTGTAATATCCATTACGAACTTCAAATGCCAAATTTGAAAAAATTCCGGCGAATAATGTCGCTAAAATCGTCGAAATTCCGAATATGAGGAGGTACCGTTATATGGAGGCTATACGAAGACGTGGACCTGCACAGGCAATTTTCTGTCGTAGGCTGTAATATCAATTACGAACTTGAAATACCAAATTTGAAACAATTCCGGTGAATAATGTCGTTAAAATTATAACAATACCGAATATCGGGAGGTGCCGTAATATAGGACCTATACGAAGGAGTGGTCATGCACGGATAATTTTTCTTTCATAGTATCCATTACGAACTTCAAAAACCAGGTTTGAAACATTTCACCAGAAATAATAAATAATAATAAATCAACAATATACTAAAAATATGGAGGTACCATTATATGGGGGCTATACCAAAACGTGGACCTACATGGCCCATTATCAATACCAAAAGTCATGCAGACGTAATATACATTTGAGTGAAATTTTATCAACCTTTTTCATTTCGTTCGGAAGCTAGAGTGATTTCCACGGACGGACGGACGGACATCACTAAATCGACATAGAATTTTATGCTGACTAAGAATAATATTTTTTGTGGGCTCTAAAATGTATATTTCGAGGTGTTACAAACGGAATCGCAAACTTAATATAGCCTCCATACTATTGTGGAAGGAATGTGGCAACAGCACATTAAAAACTCATACAAATTCTCTTAAAAAATCTCCTAAAAATCATTCTTTAAAACAAAGAAAAAAAAAACAGACGGACGGACGGACACACATAGCTAGATCGGCTTAGCTCGGCGGGATAGGAGGACCAATATTTCACGAGATGGTCCTTGAAAAATATTCTTTAAAAAATCCACGTTTATAGGCCAGTTGGTCCTTGAAAAATATTCTTTAAAAAATCCACGTTTATAGGCCAGTTGGTCCTTGAAAAATATTCTTTAAAAAATCCACGTTTATAGTCCAGTTGGTCCTTGAAAAATATTCTTTAAAAAATCCACGTTTATAGGCCAGTTGGTCCTTGAAAAATATTCTTTAAAAAATCCACGTTTATAGGCCAGTTGGTCCTTGAAAAATATTCTTTAAAAAATCCACGTTTATAGGCCAGTTGGTCCTTGAAAAATATTCTTTAAAAAATCCACGTTTATAGGCCAATTGGTCCTTGAAAAATATTCTTTAAAAAATCCACGTTTATAGGCCAATTGGTCCTTGAAAAATATTCTTTAAAAAATCCACGCTTATAGGCCAGATGGTCCTTGAAAAATATTCTTTAAAAAATCCATGTTTATAGGCCAGTTGGTCCTTGAAAAATATTCTTTAAAAAATCCACGTTTATAGGCCAGTTGGTCCTTGAAAAATATTCTTTAAAAAATCACGTTTATAGGCCAGTTGGTCCTTGAAAAATATTCTTTAAAAAATCCACGTTTATAGGCCAGTTGGTCCTTGAAAAAAATTCTTTAAAAAATCCACGTTTACAGGCCAGTTGGTCCTTGAAAAAAATTCTTTAAAAAATCCACGTTTATAGGCCAGTTGGTCCTTGAAAAATATTCTTTAAAAAATCCACGTTTATAGGCCAGTTGGTCCTTGAAAAATATTCTTTAAAAAATCCACGTTTATAGGCCAGTTGGTCCTTGAAAAATATTCTTTAAAAAATCCACGTTTATAGGCCAGTTGGTCCTTGAAAAATATTCTTTAAAAAATCCACGCTTATAGGCCAGTTGGTCCTTGAAAAATATTCTTTAAAAAATCCACGTTTATAGGCCAGTTGGTCCTTGAAAAATATTCTTTAAAAAATCCACGTTTATAGGCCAGTTGGTCCTTGAAAAATATTCTTTAAAAAATCCACGTTTATAGGCCAGTTGGTCCTTGAAAAATATTCTTTAAAAAATCCACGTTTATAGGTCAGTTGGTCCTTGAAAAATGTTCTTTAAAAACTCCACGTTTATAGGTCAGTTGATTCTTGGAAAATATTCTTTAAAAAATCCACGTTTATAAGTCAGTTGGTCCTTGAAAAATATTCTTTAAAAAATACACGTTTATAGGCCAGTTGGTCCTTGAAAAATATTCTTTAAAAAATCCACGTTTATAGGTCAGTTGGTCCTTGAAAAATATTCTTTAAAAAATCCACGTTTATAGGTCAGTTGGTCCTTGAAAAATGTTCTTTAAAAACTCCACGTTTATAGGTCAGTTGGTCCTTGGAAAATATTCTTTAAAAAATCCACGTTTATAAGTCAGTTGGTCCTTGAAAAATATTCTTTAAAAAATCCACGTTTCTGTTGGTCCATCGAAAAAATATTCCTTAAAAAATCCACGTTTCTGTTGGTCTTTGAAAAAATATTCTTTAAAAAATCCACGTTTCTCTTGGTCCTTGAAAAAATATTCTTTAAAAAATCCACGTTTCTGTTGGTACTTGAAAAAATATTCTTAAAAAATTCTAAGTTTCTGTTGGTCCTTGAAAAATATTCATTAAAAAATCCACGTTTATAGGTCAGTTGGTCCTTGAAAAATATTCTTTAAAAAATCCACGTTTCTGTTGGTACTTGAAAAAATATTCTTAAAAAATTCTAAGTTTCTGTTGGTCCTTGAAAAATATTCATTAAAAAATCCACGTTTATAGGTCAGTTGGTCCTTGAAAAAATATTATTTAAAAAATCCACGTTTCTGTTGGTCCTTGAAAAAATATTCTTTAAAAAAGTCCACGTTTCTGTTGGTCCTTGAAAAAATATTCTTTAAAAAATCCACGTTTCTGTTGGTCCTTGAAAAAATATTCTTTAAAAAAGTCCACGTTTCTGTTGGTCCTTGAAAAAATATTCTTTAAAAAATCCACGTTTCTGTTGGTCCTTAAAAAAATATTCTTAAAAAAAATCCTCGTTTCTGTTGGTCCTTGAAAAAATATTCTTTAAAAAAATCCACGTTTCTGTTGGTCCTTGAAAAAATATTCTTTAAAAAATCCACGTTTCTGTTGGTCCTTGAAAAAATATTCTTTAAAAAAATCCACGTTTCTGTTGGTCCTTGAAAAAATATTCTTTAAAAAATCCACGTTTCTGTTGGTAATTGAAAAAATATTTTCTTTAAAAAATCGACATTTCTGTTCGTCCTTGAAAAATATTCTTTAAAAACTCCAAGTTATTTTTTTAAAGATAAACACTAAATAAAGATTGTAAAAATCACCCCAACTAAACCTTTAATGTACCCCCACACTTGAATGAAAATTATTTCATTTCCGATGCAATAAATTTTCAATATTAAATCATATTTTATTCTCTTTTGGAATTATTATTCGCCACTTGCAATTCATTCACATGTATCGTATCTTATTTTCATAACTTGTTTTTCTTTTTTCTGAGCACTACCAGATTTCAAAAAGCCCCAACATGCTGGCAAAAAAATCACACACTTAAAGTTGTTAATGTTTTCCACTTGAAATGGATATGAGCAGGAAAAATTGCCACACATGTTTTCACTTCACAAAAAGAACAGCAGAAACATGGTGCAAAATACTAAAATGCAAAAAAAAGAAAACAGAAAAAATACCAACGAGCGGAGAAAAAAAAAACGAACTGACATCAGTCCCGGCCTCTTGCTACATACAGAGAGCTGTAGTTGTAGGTCGTTCGTTCATTGGGAACATCCCAAAACAAAGGCAATAATTTTCTGAAATGTTTAAACATCCATGAAAATGAAATGAGCAAAAGAGGTGAATAATTCTATTTAAATCTAACGACACTTAAGTAGGTCATTACATGCTGTCTGAGATTGAAAACGATTTTAGAAAATGTAATTTCTAGCAAAGCGGGGAAAAAATACGAAAAAGAATGGGGAAAAGTTTCAACTAACACGCATACGTTTGCCAAGCATGAAAATGAAAAGGGTTTTGTGGAACATATCTACAACATGTTCTAGTTTTTTTTTCTCTTCTTCTATTCTCTTCCCTTTTTATGTTATACGAATCAGATAAACAAGGATAAATGAGTTAATCAGCGGAAGAGGAGTAGCATTTTTGATTAAACCAAACGACAGGAATATGAATGGATGATGTCCTCAAATATTTCCTTTGTTAATTTGGTAATGAAATTTTGAAAAGCAGAATAGTTTGAAATGGAAATTGTGATTTAGGGGAACTCCATAAGAATTGAAATTTGAATAAAAGAGACTCTCAGTTTTTGTAAAACATTAAATTTTAATACCCTCAGCCATATATATGTCTAAAGAGGGTATATATCAGTTGATACGGCTAAAACGTGTCTCATCGAAATAATGGTTTTAGACCCTAGGTCTCATTGGACCAATTCAGGACATTTGAAGTCGATCTAGCGATATCCGACCGTTAGTCTGTCTGTCTGGATGGCTTTGGCACACGATAGCTTCCGAAGGGGTTAGCCATTTTGGTTCAAATTCGGTACATCCAAATATTATTATGAAACTCAGATCGACGGGGCAATATCGGTCCTCTCCTTCTGGTACCTCTCCACAAATTGTCGAAATTTTCAAAAAAAAAAAAAAAAAAATAAATAAATAAATAAATAAAAAATAAAATAAAAAAAATATTTTTGTGCACAAAAAGAGAAAGGGTCATTCGATTTTGCTCTAACTTTGCATGTCCTAATATTTTCATCAGTGCTAGGCTAGGTGCGAAAATGGACGATATAGGCCCATTCCTTCGGAAATTTATCCATAGAGAGTCAACAATTTCAAAAATCATAACAAAAGTTAAATTTTTTTGAAATAATCGAACATTGACTGAGGGTAAACATCTGTCGGCAAAACCGACTGATACTTTTTAACTTTTTAAGGTACACTTAAAAAGCTCCCAGAGCTCACATTCTAGATTCAGAGAATCTTCCCCAGGATATTTATAATTCACTTCACCTCAAATCGGATCTAAAATGTTGGATTTTTTAAAGAATACTTTATGGATTCCCAGACTTCAAATCGTTTATTTTTAAAGAATACTTATGGAGAACAATCTAACCGGAAAGCGCGGATTTTTTAAAGGATATTTTTAAGGACACTTTTAGAGGAGTTCCAAACTTCAAATCGTGGATTTTTTAACAATATTTTTAAGGGAATTTTTCAAGAATTTCAAGGATACTTTCTTAAGGATTTCCAAACTTCAAATTGTGTATTTTTAAGGACACTTTTTAAAGACTTTCAGACTTCATATGGTGGATTTTTAAAGAATATTTTTAAGGACTTTCAGACTTCAAATCGTGGATTTTTTAGAGAATAGTTTTAGGGACTTAAGAATATAAGAATATTTTTATGGACATTTTTAAATCGTGGATTTTTTAAGGAACATTTTTAAGGGCACTTTTACAAGTCGAGGTTTTTTTTTTAATATTTTTAAGGACACTTTTAAAAATCGTGGATCTTTTTAAAGAATATTTTAAGGGCTTCCAGACTTCAAATCGTTGTTTTTTTAAAGAATATTTTTAAGGACTTTCAGAGTTACAATCATAAATTTTTAAAGAATATTTTTAAAAACAGTATCAAATTGCGGATTTTTTAAAGAATATTTTTAAGGACTTCCAGACTTTAAATCGTGGATTTTTAAAGGACTTCCAGACTTCAAATCGTGTATTTTTAAAATAATATTTTTAAGGACTTCCAGACTTCAAATCGAGGTTTTTTAACGAATATATTTAAGGACTGTCAGACTTCAAATCGTGGATTTTTAAAGAATATTCTTCAGGACATTTTTCAAGGACTTCCAGACTTCAAATCGTGGATTTTTAAATAATATTTTGAAGGACTTTCAGACTTCAAATCGAGTTTTTTTAAAGAATATTTTTAAGGACTTTCAGACTTCAAATCGTGGATTTTTAAAGAATACTTTTAAGGACATAAGGACTTCCAGTCTTTAAACCGTGAATTTTTTAGAGTAAATTTTAAAGGAAGTTTTTTAAGGACTTTCATATCTAGGACTTTTAAATAATATTTTAAAGAGGCTTTTAAGGACTACAATGGCTCAAATCGTGTATGTTTTAAATAATATTTTTCATGGATATTTTATTAAGGACTACTAAATCATGGATTTTTCAAACATTTTTTTTAATTTTCAGGACTTTTACAGGACTTGGATTTTTTTACTGTCTATGAATTTCAAATGGATTTTGTACAAATATTTTTAAGAATATTTTGTAAGACCCCAAATCGAATTTTCCTTCATAAATAACATTTATTTAGGACTACTAGACCTTAAATTGTGGATTTTTAAGGATATATTTTTCGACTTTTCGAAGGCGATAATTTTTAAGGATTTTCATTACAATAGTCGGAGCTTTTTTAAGAATTTATCAATGAATTTAATTTAAGTACCCTAAATTGTAAATTCCTGTATTCTTTAAAAAAAAATGTTCTAAGGAACTTTGAGAGAATACATTTGTTGTTGTTTTTGTAGATTTTTTTTACTAAGTAAAATTTTTAAAATTAAGTTTTTTAATTTGAAAGTTTTACAAATATTATTTTTAAAGCTATTACAGCTGACTTAATGTAGTGGATTGTTTTAGAAATATGCTTTAAGGATTCTGAGGGCTTAATACTGGATTTCTTAAACATGTCTTTTTTAAAAATCGAATTTTGAAAAAGTCATATTTCTTTAAAAATTTTTCTTGAGTCATAGCGCAATATATATTTTCCCAAGTATCCTTGAAAAATAATCGCGAATTTAAAAACTAAATTTTTAAGGATTTTAGAGAATTTTGTTTTCATGACCTTTCGACCTATTTGCATGGACTTTTATTAAAAGTAGTTTTGGAAGGATTCTTAAAAATTAAATAAAAACTTTTTGTGACTTTAACAGTCACTATTGTATATTCTTTCAAAAAGGACAGTAATCACAGAATATTATGGAATTAAAAAAAATGATTATTATTGCAAAGGTTTCGAAATCGAAGTCAATCTATTTTGCCAGAGGCAGCGTCGAATTCGGGGCTTGTACCCATAACCAAAATTGGAAGATTGCACAATCAGACTTAGACTCGATCCAAACACTCTGAACTCAACTTCGGCTGTAATTGATAAAATTCAAAGCCTAAGGCAGAGCTTACATTTTGTCTATTTTAAGAATATTTCTGAAGCACATTTTCATAAGAACACCCTGGAGTTGGAGTAAATATTAATATTGAAATCGTGTTGTATTAAAAAAAGACTCTGAAAATTTTTCAGAAAACAGTTTTTCAAGTGCTTCTTGGAGGATTTAAAAAAATATTTAAAAGGACTCTCTAAAGGATTAAAAAATAAAATTTATCAAAGCTATTTGAATAGATTTTTAAATATATTTTTATCAGTCGTTTTGGAGTTTACATTGTGCAGCATTTAGGTATTTTATGTCAAGGACTATCGGAGCTAACGTTTTGCTTTTTTGCAATATTTTTGAAAGGACTCTCAGGGATAGAATCGTGTTTTTTTAAATATTTTTTTTTAAATAATAAAACTGTAATTTTTCTATCTTGACTTTGTAGAATTTATAGGATATGTGATAATTCCGATTTTCAAGGAAATATTCTGATGTTTGAAGATTTTGCCTAATGTTCAGGGTCAGGTCTATGAGTTTGACCTATGAAGTTCCAAGGAATAATTTTTTTTTTTTGCATTTATTAATCAGTGATCACCATTCAAGTTCTAACGACTATTCTGGCATTATTTTCTTATGTTAATCCGAAAATTTTGTCACATTTATATTGATGTATTTTTTACCCCGTTTACTTACCCCGTTCTGGCGAAATTAGTCCAAAATGTTATGACCGCCTCCGACAGAGCAATTTCCGATTTGGTATAGTTTTGTGGAAAATGACTAAAACCATCAACGAGGGGTGCACCAAAGATGTACGGCAAATCTTCACCATGCACTGTACCCATGCGCTGTGGGTAGTCGCCATCTTTCGTCTGATAATCGAAAACATAGAAATAACAACGTCCCGATTGGCCAGGATATTGGGTTGAGGCTGATGCTGTACCACCGCCCGATGAGCTGGACATGGGTGGTGGTGAATTGGCAGCAAAAATATCCGCCGTGCGAATGAGAGGGGCGACAAATTGAGCATCTGAGAGGGCAGCTACTGCTGTGTCACGGGTATTGATCGGATGCTGTGAGGCACGATCCCAGTCGGTGTATTCGTTGACAATCTGGAAGAGAGGTGGAGAAAAGGTTTTATTATTTTAGAGGGGGTAAATAATGGAGATAATAGTGAGATTATAATAATTGTGGGTCTCATGCCAATTTTCATATTCTTTTATTCCCCCTTTCAAATATTTTATTCCCCCTTCCAAATGTGCCTTAAAAACTTAATAGTTCCTTGAACTCCATTAAGCCGAAATTAAAAACCTCTTAAAAGTCTACAGCCATATTTTCCACCCATAAAATATATGCACGCAAAAACTTCCTCATATTAATAAAGCTAATTTTTTTCACTTCGTACGGAAAGTTCACGCCCCCCTACAAATGAACACGAACAGCAACAACAACAATATCATATTAACCAAGTTGAAAGGCATTAAGGTTGTAACAAGTTTAATGAAATATTCTTTACAATATTCTTTTTTTTTGTTGTTTTTGATTATCGTAATTTGTACTTTTTTATTATCACCATCATCGAAGCGTATTGTTGCGGTGTGTCTGGAGAGCATATTACTTAAAGCCATCTTTCGAACATTATGTTTGGCTGATGTTTGCTACGCTCTCACATTGTTAACCTGACAATACAAAAGCCAACACCCAAAAACATAACACCTTTGAATGTGGCTGGATACACAGGAGGAAGGAGGAGGAGCAGGAGGCATAAAAGAATAATACGGCAATGATACACCATAACGAATTCACGGGCGTGTAGTATTCAGTTCAGGAATGAAATATTACTGCAACTCCTATATGAAATGAATCGGTATTTTTTTTTGTATTTTATACATATATATAAATATTACACACGCACACACACACACGCATTTCGTTAAGCACACAAAGAAATACTTTAACACAATGGAACGCCAAACAGAAATGTGTGTCTTGTCATTATCATGTCACACACACGGTGGCAGATATACAGATATTTATAATGAAATATGTGGATGGCAACAAAAAATAACTATAAATATTGAAGAGGGTGGTATGGAAATTGAGGGAAGAATATTATTAAAGCATATTTTCAGGAACCAATAGCAGGGGACTTAAAAAAATAAATCAGGGACCTCCTGAAAAATAAAAGGAATTTTTTTAAGAATTTTTTCAAAAATTTTTAGAGAATTTTTTCTAAGGACCTCCTGAATAATGAACTTGCATTTTTTAAAGATTTTTTCCAAGGAACTCCGAAACAAAAAACGTTGATTTTTACAAGAATTATTTTCCAAGGACATTCAGAACAAAAATAGGTAATTTTTAGCAATAATCGTGGATTTTTTAAAGATTTTTTTCCAAGGACCTCCTGAACAATAAACGTGGAATTTTTAAAGATTTTTTTCCATGGAGTTCCTGAACAATGAACGTGGATGTTTTAAAACAAAATTCCAAGGACCTTATGAACAATAAACGTGGATTTAAAAAAAAATGCAACGACCTTCTGAATAATGAACGTGGATTTTTAAAGAATTTTTTCTAAGGACTTTCTGAACAATAAACTTGGATTTTTTTAAGAATTTTTTCTAAGGACCTCCTGACCAATAAACGTGGATATTTTAAAGAATTTTCTCCAAGGACACCTTGAACAATAAACGTGGAATTTTTAAAGATTTTTTCCAAGGACCCCTTGAACAACAAACGTGGTTTTTTAAAGATTTTTTTTAGCACCTCCAGAATAAAAAATTGGATATTTTAAATATTATTTTTTTCAAGGAACTCCTAAACGATAAACGTGTATATTTTAAAAAATGTTTGCTACAGACGAAGAGACCAGTGAACGTGGATTTTTTAAAGAATCGCTTCCATAGACAAAGAGACAAATAATGTGTTTTTTTTTTAAAGAATTGTTTCCGAGGACAGCCTGAAATGTGGAATTTTTGAGGGATTTTTTAAGGATAAACAGACGAATAAACGTTGATATTTTCAAATAACTTTTTCCAAGGACCTCCTGAATAATTAACGTGATTTTTTTAAAGAATTTTTTTCCAATAACAATAAAAGTGGATTTTTTAAAGAATTTTTGCAATGAACTCCTCGACAATATGCGTATATTTTTTTACAGAGTTTTTTCCGAAGACAAAGGGACCATTAGTCTGTAGTCCTTGATAAATATTTTCTTAAAAACCATGTTTACTCATCTGTTGGTTTACCGATCTTTTGGCCCTTATATAATATGGATTTTTAAGGAAGGTTTACTGGACTATAAATTTTTTTTTAAATATCCAGGTTTTTTGGTCTTTTGATCCTTGAAAAATATTCTTTACAAATTCCTCGTTCGTCGGTCTGTTGATCCTTGAAAAATATTCCTCAAAAAATCCACGTTTCTGTTGGTCCTTGACAAATATTCTTTGAAAAAATGCACGTTTCTGTTGGTCCTTGAAAAATATTCTTTGAAAAATCTACGTTTCTGTTGGTCCTTGAAAAAGTATTGGTCCTTGAAAAAATATTCTTTAAAAAATCCACGTTTCTATTGGTCCTTGAAAAAATATTCTTTAAAAAATCCACGTTTCTATTGGTCCTTGAGAAAATATTTTTTAAAAAATCCACGTTTCTGTTGGTCCTTGAAAAAATATTCTTTAAAAATCCACGTTTCTATTGGTCCTTGAAAAAATATTCTTTAAAAATCCACGTTTTTGTTGGTCCTTGAAAAAATATTCTTTAAAACATCCTCGTTTCTGTTGGTCCTTGAAAAATATTCTTTGAAAAATTCCACGTCTCTGTTGGTCCTTGGAAAATATTCATTGAAAAAATTCACGTCTCTGTTGGTCCTTGAAAAATATTCTTTGAAAAAATCCACGTCTGTGTAGGTCCTTGAAAAAATATTCTTTAAAAAATCCAGGTTTATTTTTCTGTTGATCCTTGAAAATATTCCTTAAAAAATTCACGTTTATTGATCCTTGAAAATATTCCTTAAAAAATTCACGTTTATTGATCCTTGAAAATATTCCTTAAAAAATCCACGTTTATTGATCCTTGAAAATATTCCTTAAAAAATCCACGTTTATTGATCCTTGAAAATATTCCTTAAAAAATCCACGTTTATTGATCCTTGAAAATATTCCTTAAAAAATCCACGTTTATTGATCCTTGAAAATATTCCTAAAAAAATCCACGTTTATTGATCCGTGAAAATATTCTTTAAAAAATCCACGTTTATTGGTCCTTGAAAAATATTCTTAAAAAAATCCATCTGTTGATCCTTGAAATATATTCTTCAAAAAATCCAAGTTAATTAGTTCTTTGATCCTTGAAAAATACTCTTTAAAAAATCCACGTTTATTGGCCTTCTCCCACTCTTTGCCTCTTTTCATTGTCTTGCTGATTACACCATGTCATAGCTGGCAACGATTACTTTAAATGCCATCATAAAAGTTGTTCATCATCCATTTATTTGCTGAGATTCGACAATGATGCGTACATACATATGGACGTGTCGCAGTCGTTGGCGTGTCGTGTCGTGTCGTCGGGTGTCTGCAGCGTATGTTCTTAAGTGTGCGTATATTTTTTTTGCCACTAATAAGCTTTTCCGCTTGCTACATAAAATAAAATACATATTACTTTGAGCCAACCAACCATCAATGAGTGGTAATGTTTTTGTGGGCGGAAGGACAGACGGACGGATGGATGGTAGTTCGGCTGGCTTGATGGCTTCCACATTTATACAGTTTGCTGGGTTATTATAACAATTGCGTAAATTTTCGTTTTTAAGCTAAAATTATGGACACGAAGCAACTAAAGGTTTATTTGTGTGGCGACGTGTTATTGTGTACATACATGGATGTGAATGTGTGCGTGGGAGTGTTTTTTTTTTGAATCGTTTCCTAACTACCACCAGTCTTTTAGGCCTCAAAAGTAGGCATGCTGTATATTAGTGTTGATTAGTATATATAAATGTGGCTAAGTATGAGTAAGTGCCTTTAAACTCATTCATTCATACATAGGCATATTATTCTCTCTCCCTTCCCTCTTCGGTGTTCTCTCTCACATTTTTGTGTGCTAGTCTGTCTGTTTGTAATTGTAGTGTACGAAATGACTTTAGTCAACATAAAGTAGGGTATTATGTAGCATTTCCAAGGTTGTGCATGAATTGTTTATGTTAGTGCTTTCCACTAACACCATCTCATCATTCCCATACGCAAAATACCCTTTATAGGCTTACATTAGCCGTCGTTAAAGGAGGGAGTGGGGCGAGGAGGAGAAGGAGCAATGCGGGTCTTACAGGCTTAAGTGCTGCATGCGTGTATGTCTTAAAGTAGCTTAATTTTGGCAATTCATGTTAATTTCTCAACGAGTATTTATGTGAATCACTCACACATACACACACACAAATTGCGCGGCATACACTCACACATACGTGAATAGCATAGACACAGACCATGGCAATTTAAATGGAATGAATTGCGTAGCCAAAAATTGAAGTTAAATATTTTTCACGTACGCACACAAACAAACAAACGCATGGCATGGGTACTCACACAAACAAGGTAATTCTGACACACACATACATATTTATTAACCAAATGCATATAAAGGCAATTAAAGTCAATTGACTGTAAATCACGGTAATACCGCTGCTTGTTGAGCAGGTGTTTGGATAAAGAAAACAACAGCAATAACTTGGCAGATTATTTAGAAATCCAGGAGAAGAAAGGTTTTTGCATTTAAAACTCAAGAAAGCAAACGTAGATGTTTTAAAAAAGATTTTTTTACATAATATTTGTTCAAGGACCAACAGAAACGTGGATTTTTTAAAAAAATATTTTTGCAAGGACCAAAAGAAACGTGGATTTTTTAAAGAAGATTTTTTCAAATACCAATAGAGACGTGGATTTTTAAAGAAGATTTCTTCAAGGACCAACAGAAACGTGGATTTAAAAAAAAATATTTTTTTAAGGACCAACAGCAACGTGGATTTTTACAAAAATATTTTTTCAAGGACCAATAGCAACGTGGATTTAAAAAAAAAATATTTCTTCAAGGACCAACAGCAACGTGGATTTAAAAAAAAATATTT